CCTGCCCCCCATCCTGGGAGAAAGAAAGGAGGATAGGGTTTCCGTTAGGAAATGGAGAGAAACTGTGACCAGGTACCAGGTAATTTTTAGAGTTCATTTTTTTAAGATAAAGAAGCAAGAAAGCTTACAACTATTAACATATTCATATAAGAATCTGCCCCCTGCATAGCTCACTGATCCCATCTCCTCGTTTTCTGTCATGTTTCAACATGCTCTGGCCACTTCACTTGTCCATTCTAACACACCCCGTCCCTTTGCCTACACTGTATTCATAAGTAGAATCCCTACTGGCCAAAGCCTACTCACCCTTTAAGATCTGCGTCGTTTTTCACTTCTTAAAGCCTTTTCCATTCCACTGGGCATGGCTGATTGCTCCCGTCTCTCTGTTTCCAGACTACCTGCCATGTACCTGGTTATTGTATAATCCCAGTACATTGAAATTACTTGTTCCACTCTGTTTTTGTTTTATTACATGTTTGTGTCTGCACAAACCACACACAGTGTTGTTTTGTTGTATCATATATAAACGGTGTCGATTCTGTCAACTACTTTGTAACTTGCTTTTCACTCAACATTTTTTTTTTAAATTTTCTGTGAATCATGCTCCAATTGACTTAGTTGAACAGCTTTATGTAAAGTGTCTCATGGTATGAATATACCACACTTTATTTGTCTGTTCCCCCTATGGGTAGACATGTAGGTTATATTTCTTTTTTTTTTTATTACGTATAGTCTGTATTGAACATTCTTGTGTGTACGTACTTGTACACTTACGTGAGTTTTTCTAGGTAATAGCTAGAAGTAGAGCCGGGGAATTGTTAGGGAAATGTATGTTCAATTTCACGAGATCCGCCCAAATATTCTCCAGGATGGTCGTTGCCGTTTCCATTTGAACCAGCAGCGTATCCGAGTTCCTTGGCCCTCACACCCTCATCTTCGTTCCATAGAATCAAAGTTCTTGTTTTTTGCCACCCTGGACTGTCATTTTAATCTGTATTTCTCTGATTACCGCTGAGGTTGAGTATCTTTTTCTGATGTTTATGGGTCATGCGAGTTTCTTCTGTAAATTTCCTGCTTGTATCATTAGCTCATTTTCCAGATTTTGACTGCTTGCATCCTATCTGCCTCTTTTTGTTGTGCGATGGACTCAGCGATGGCCAGAGCCAGGGTTTTTATCATTTGTAACAATTGGACTTGCTTTTTTCATGCATCGAAATGTTTCCTAAGCTAGTAACCAGAAAAATTGAGCAAGGGTTTAAAAAATAAAGAACTATGTGAAAGTTCTTCTTAGACACAGAATTTGGAAGATCTCCATACTTAGAGTAGAATTTATGGATTTGGTGTAATGACACAAACAACCTCTTCCCTTTGTGGGTACCATGATATACTTTCAGAGTACTTGTAGATCCGTCATGTTCCTTTCCTAAGCAGCCAACGAGGGAAGGAGGATAGATCCTTTGGCGGTGAGCTTCAGACCTTGGGCAGGCTTTCCCTGAGCGGTGACAAGGAGTGTTCTCAGGTACGGTGAAGGCTCCTGTTGCCATTTTACAAGTTACAAAATGTGAATTTTTTGAAATTTTGGTGTTGAGACTTATTTGTTGAAACTAGATTGTCCTTTAGAATTTTCCACAAAAGTCTTTGTTGATTGCATCCTCATAATAATGTTACCATGTTTGTCCTCTGTTTCCTGTCAAAGGGTAAGAAAAAATCAGAGGCTTGATCAGGTTCAGATTTGATTTTTTTAAACCAAGAATCCTTTACTGGCAGTCTTATGTGCTCCCATGAAGAGGCACAGAATATTGAACTGTATTTTTGTGATTTTAAGCAGCCACCGATTATGTCTAGATCCATTAATTCATCAGGATTTACAAAATGGTGGTATTCTCATTCTCTCATCTACATTTCTTTATGAAATACATCTAGAAAGAGAGACTTCTCCTCACCAACTAGTTACCTGATAGAGTTTACACAGGAAAGTTCCTTACTGGTTGTCAGAGGAATGAGTTGGTTCCCTACCATCCTCTGAGAGGTTGTTTTCCTCCTTTTTTTCTAAAAAGAGAAAAGTGAGGATCAGTGTCTCTTTGTTTTTATGCTTTGATTTGACCCGGCTCTCTGAGATGTGAGAAGTTAGCCACATGTGTGGCAGCTCCTGGCTAGTGAGTGGTTCGGGGAGTTGGAGAAGGGCAGTGAAGCTGGTGGGGTGAACACAGACTTGGGACTCAGCACCTGAGTTTGTATCTCGGCATTGCCACTTCCCAGCTGTGTGGCCCTGGGCATGCTGCATAGTCTTTCTGGGCCTAAGCTCTCCCCTAAGTGTGATGAAGTTCATAACGCCTGCCTCCTGGGGTTCTCAGGACGGAAGGACACTAGAGGAGCCCCCGCCCAGGACCTGGCTCCTGATGGAGGCTTGGGAAAACTATCACTTTTACCAGCATTTTAGGGAAAACAGACCACCTTGCCTTTTGCCGCACAGAATGAGCTCACTGAAGCGTGGTGATGGCTTGGCATGTGGTGCATTGAAGGCTCAGATCTCTCTGCGGCAGAGAAGTGGGCGCGTGGAGGCCTCCGCTGAGATGAGGAGGTTGGTAGGTGCTGGGAGCCTGAGTCCTGATCTCCCTTGATTGGAGGGAGCTAATGACATAAATGCCTCTGATTAGTCATCCCTTTGAGAGTCATTTCCGCTTGGCGGGACTCTTGCCTTGTCCTGACCTTGGACATGTTCCATGCTGTAAGTTGCCCTTCAGAGCAGCCCAACGTAAAAGATTACACTTTCCCCCACTTCTCTGCAAGGTGAACACTGTATATGTGATGCATAGGACGCTTTGTACACTTTAAACCCAAAAGCAAAAAAAAAAAAGCACATATTGTAACCTCAACAGGAGATTTTAGGGCCATAGAGTGCTAAGTGACCTTTGAGGACAAGGACTCCAAAACTCATTTCACAGAAAAGAAAACCCAAGTTCTTTTACTCTTCAATTCACTCAAATATTTTTGAATGCCTGCCATCCCCCTGGGAGAGGTGCTGGGGATCCCGTGCTGAAGCAGATGTGCAGTCCCTGCTCTCATGGAGACAGAGGGTGGTAGCTCATGGAGGATAAGGGGGCAAGGGGACATGCAGAGGCCTGGGGGAGCATGTGGCAGGAGGACCCGGCCAGGTGAAGACAGCCATGTGCATAGAGTGCTCGGACGAGAGGGAATGGCACCTGACACTTGGGTGGGGACAGGGAGAACACAGGCTTTTGAGGAAGAAAAAGGAGTTCGGGATTGTTCGAGGCTGGAGACCAAGGGCGAGAGTGACGAGAGGCGAGGCTGCGTCAGATCCTGCCGGGCCTCATAAGCTGTGCTGAGGTTTTAAAACTTCATCTCAGAGGGCAGCGGAAGCCATGGAAGCCTTTTCCACAAAGGAATGTAATAACCGGGTTTCCGTTTTAGGGGAGAACCCTGGTGGTCAAGTGGAGAATTGACAGTGGAGATGAGAATGGTTGAGAATGGGAGCAGGGAGGCCCATGGAGACAGGCACCGGAGTGTCCAGGAAAGAGACAGTGATGACTTGCGCTTCAGCTGTGGCGGGTGGACAGATAGCAGGGGGAGGATGTGGGGCACCTTAGGGGCGCCCCAGCACGTATCCTTGGAGGGTGATGGATGCGTAGAATGCAGGCCACCCTGGGCTAGCTAACTTCCTTCCTACTGAGCTCATCTTAGGTTTCTGTGACTGAGGGGTTGCATGACCAAGGCCTCACTTTACTCGTCTCAAAAATAGGAACAGTGATAGTTTTCCTTGTCAAAGCTTAACAGGGGACATTTTCATGAGTATTTATTATAGGTCAACTTTTTGAACTTGTAAACAGTAGTGATTGGCTTTCAACTGGTCTGTTCACCTTGTTAATAATAGATGCCAGCTGAGCCTTATATAGTTTGGGGATGTCAGGAGATACTAATAGTTCTGTGGCGCGGATTTCGCTGGGTGGGGTGAAGGGTGGATGGGGATATTTTGAATTTTCTTTTAACCTCTTTGAGCGTCAAGTTTTCTCAACAGCTGAAAACTTATGGTGGATGTTTTTCTAGTGCTTTAACCACCTAAAAAGTAAACCACTCGAAAGTGATTAAAATATTAATATATTCATTACCAAGCCATTAGCCGTGTGATGTTTTATAGAAAGTGAATATTCACCTAATGAGGCGAGTCATTTAGCCACTCATTTTTTAAAAATTATCATTGAGTATTTTGAACTGTGCCCCAGCAGCTGTATAGGAAATGGTACCAAGACGGTGATGGCATCCTGATTTGTCCTGGTAATGCGGTGTGGAGGGGTGGGTGTTGATCTTTGGTCTCTTTCTAGAAAATACCATTTATCATTTGGGAATGAGATTTGACTGGTCGTGGGGACCTGATCAAAGTGGATTAAGCACAGGAGGGTTTAATTTCCTCACAGAAAGTACAGAGCTGTTGGGTACTGGCATTGGTTTAGTGGCTCAAGGGCGTCAGGGCAGCGCTGTCTGTGATTCTGTAGACCTTTCCCTCATGGTCTCAAGATGACTGCTCTCGCTGTAGCCATCACATGTGCATTCCAGCAGGAGGAAGGACAATGGGGTGCACCTTCCAGATAGTTAGTTCTTTTTAAAGAGCCCACCAATCAATAGACAAACACAATATGTATTCAATAAATGCTGCCAAGGATGCCATTTCAATCAAGTCCTCAAGACCCAAATTTTCCAAGACAACTTAGGGAAACCCGGGAACCCAGGAACTCTGGCCCCTAGCCCTGGGCTAAGTGCTTAAAAAAATAAAGAGCTCACCAATCAACTCGTTACTCTCACTGGCCATTCTTAGGAGTGAAGGAGTCAGGAAAATGAAGTTTTGTTTTCGCTCTACCCATTGTTGTCCCAATGGCAGAGAGATTCTGTAAGAAAGGAAGAGGGAGAGAATGGAGATGCTGCCACAAACATACAGTGAGGTTAAGAAAACCTTCCTTGCTTTGTACACCTCTTGTTCTCAACAGGCCATCGGAAATGCTAAAACCACTCGCAATGACAACAGCAGCCGTTTTGGAAAGTATATTCAGATCGGCTTTGACAAAAGGTACCACATCATTGGGGCCAACATGAGGACCTACCTGTTGGAGAAATCCAGAGTGGTCTTCCAGGTGAGGGGTGCCACTTGGGCCTTAGTATTTTTTTCCCCATGGATGATGCTACCCGACCCACTCCCCATGCCCAAAAAGCAATTCATTTTCCCAGCCTGAAATTGGATATACTTATTTCCTTCGTTTTCTTTCTTTACTTCCATCCGTAAGTATTTATTCAAGTGCTCCAGGCATCATGCCTGAAAAATCTTTTACCAGTACAGTTATTGTTCAGCGGGCATTGTTTTTAGAGTCAATCAACAAACATATATTGAGTGCCTATTATGGGCTAGCCTGTGCTACCCACCAAAGATACAGTGAAGAGTTAGATGGTCCCGTTCCTCAAGGATTTCAGAGTCGTGCTCAGGGGAATGTCATTTGATGTCTATTTGTAGGTTATAAAAGAAAAAAACCCACTTGGCCATCTAGTTTCCTTTTCAAATCCATGGAGTTCCCCTCTCTCACCTGACTCAGGTCTTCATTGCTCTGTGCTCACTTTCCGTTCTCTCCTTCCCAACTGCCCTTTGGCCTCTTGGGGACTCTCTTCCTCCTCCACCCTGGCCTTTAGTGGTGGTCAGTGCATCTCACAACACGAGGACGGTCCTCCTCCAGCTCCCTTTTGATGTCCCATTGCTGAACTGAGATGCACTGCATGCCCCAGTGTGAGATGGCTGCATTCCCTTGACCTGGGCCAGGCGGCTTCCCAGCCTTGACGTTTCAGCTGCATTCAGAGGGGATATTAAAAACAGTTCAGCTGTTTGTTTCTCGGTGGCGCCTATCTCCACGCTGATGCTTAGCAAATAGCTAATGAATTTTCTAACCAGCTTTATTTTTTTCCCCTCTTTCTCTGCCCAGGCTTTCTCTCCACCTCCCAGGTTGGGTTTGACAGCCCCTCATCCTTCATTTCACTGCAGCAAAGCAAGCAGCCTGCTGTGCTGGGTGTGGGTCGGGGGTGCCGGCCGTGGCTGTGGCCAGACTCCACCCTGGACACCCCTGGAGCTTTCCCTTGCCTTGCTGTTTTTGCTCAGGCCTCTTGAAGCCCCAAAGCCGCTTACCTCCCCTCGCTGCCGCCCCCACCACTGCCGACCTAGCATGTCTAGCCTGAATGTCCACTCTAACTCCTGTCTCAGCCGTGGGCCCTTTCCTGAATGCCCAGCCTGACATGATGAGCAATGGTGTAGCTTTAACTTAGTTCCAAACCTCCCCGAGGAGAAAGGGAACCGACAGCAGGGAAATTACAGTCTGTGCAACATTAGCCCAGTAGCACGGCTACCTGAATAAGTGTGTGTTGATTGACGGACCTACTGTTTTTGGAATAGCAATGATGTTCTTCATAAGAGGCAAAAGAAAATGCATGTTTTTACCTAAGAGGCAAAAAAACCCTCAGGTTGAAAGAGGGCCCTATAATAGTGAATGGGAAATCTGGGGGTGGGAATTGAAGGCGGACAGGGGTGTAAAGGAAACTGTTAGGAAAAGTCTTGACCTCGGTCATCTAGAGCACCCTGGGATTAGAATGGGTGAGGGGACAATCTTGAGGGTCACTGCCCTAAAACTGCTTAACTTTGTCCCTCCTCCAGGCAGATGATGAGAGGAATTACCACATCTTTTACCAGCTGTGTGCTGCTGCCAGTCTTCCGGAATTTAAAGAGCTTGCGCTAAGTAAGTAAGCGGTGCGTGCCCATCCTCTGAGTGGGCTGCAGCAGGTGGTACCTCTGGAGGCTCTGAAGGGAATGAGGAGACTCTGCTCAAAGCCATCTGTCGTGGGTTCTTGTCTCAGCTCTGCCTCTCCCGTGGGCGTGCCCCCCAGACCTCTTGGATCTTTGCCGCCCAGTTAGTAAAATAGAGTTAATTGTACCCCAGCCTGCCTGCCACAGAAAATGTTTTAGAGGATAAGCAGCAGGGAGTGGAACAGCATTTGCAGAGTGTAAAAAAATTTCCGAGCATTGTTCTTTTGAAAAATGTGTCCACTTTTTACTTGCTTGTGGATTCCTGTAGCGTTGGGTGCCTGTGCCATGCAATTTAGCTTTCATCAAACCCTACGCAGGCAATGTTAGGCACTGGGGGTGCAGCATTGAACACAACAGTTGTGGGTCCTGCCCTCACTTAGGTTACAATCACAATTCAGAGTGATAAGGGGATGCTGGTTGAGGCATAGTGGAGGTGGGTCAGAAGGTTCCCAGGGGAGGTAATGTTTAAATGGGGACCCCAGGAGGAAGCCCTGGAAGACATCTGTTATGCTGCTTCTATACTGTACTCTAGTTGTTCAGTGCTTGCAAGTAAAATCAACTCCTTGGGGACAAGGGGTGACTGTTACAAGCCTTGTTCGGTGAGCACTGCCCTGAGCTGGCACCTTGAGGCTCTCATGTTATCTTATGATCACAAATGGCCTGGAGGGCAGGTCACATGAAGGGCCACTGCCATCTTCCTCTTTCCTTCCCAGAGAGAGGACTCGGACCCAGCTGGGCTTCTCAGGGCTAACCTCCAAGAGATGAAAAAAAAAATTTTTTTAAGGTCAGTTGTATAGAAAATGAACAAATATTGGCAAGATTTATTTGGCTGTATCTGGACCATTTTGTCCCAGATGTGGCTTTATAATAATAAGGAAGAAATCCTCTTCTTTTTTTTTTTTTTGCATTCACATGAATGTATTGAGGTGAAAAAATGATTCTTCCTTATTCCATGTTTCTACAAGTTTCCAGACTTCTCTAGCCCCCGGCTGGAGCAGTTGGAAAGTATCCAATTCGATCAATTTCTTGCAGCCTTTTTTCCCTGCGTGCGCCCTCTGAGAGTATCTTGGAGCGAAGAGCCTTTGATAAGCCTTTGTGCTCGGGCGTGAGGCTGTCTTCAGCCTTGCGGGTGGATAGGCTGTAAACCCTGAAGCTTGACGTGTAGTTCCACCGACAGGCCTGGTTGAGTGGCTGGAAACATCAAACAAACGAAGGACCAGCCAGTGGCTGCTAGTGAGTGTTCAGACTGCTGGGCCTCCTTCTCCCTTTTCACCTAAAACGTGCTGTTCAAATGCACAGAAGTCTCGCAAGACCCCTGGGCCCAGCAGGAATTTTGAGCATTTGGGGTGGGGACCCGGGAGGAACAGGCTTGTGTTTAGGCACCCACACTTTCCTCTGCCCTGTTGTTGGTGGTCTGTTGCATGACACTGACCACAGGATGAGATTTTTTTTTTTTTTTTAAGAAAACACTCCAGTGAATAATTTGTTTCAGTGTGACTAAATGGTGGTAAAAAGAGGCATAGTGGGCCCATATTCCCTTAAATACAGCCTTTAGGTACAAGGAATAAATTCTTTTGCATTCAATAGATGGTGTATTGATACAGTTTTATGAGCAGTCTCTCCTAAGCATGGCCTCTGCAGGTGAAATGCAAGTCCTTGGCTGTGACCTTGGTGGGCCTCTGCTCCAATCTCTGAGTTCTTGCCTGCCCTCCCTGTGGTCTGTACACAACACTACCTGATCCATTGTCCGCCTGTTGAGCCAGTTAATAGGGGATTTTGTGGTCTGTGTCTCCTTGGAAATTCTAAATAAAGAGAGACCCAAGCTGGAGGACAAGAGAAGTGGTCCTGGTATGGGCCAGTGACAGCATCATGGGCCTGAAAGGAGGCTGAGATCCAGACAGACTCAGCAGATGGGAATGTCTGTTGGGATGTCTGTCTTATTAAGAGGCTACAGAGAGTGAGGCTAACAGAAGCGATAGCTAACCTTAAAGCAGATGGAAAGGAGATAATTGTGATTGGATTCAAATCGTTTAGTAGAGAATGCTGCGACTGACCCCAGTGGGCCTGCGGTGATGAGCCTCAGCCAGAGGAAGTTATCCAGCTGTGACTGAGTTTGGGACTGGAAGCAGGGAAGATGGGGTGGTCTGTCTTATTCAAAACATCAGGCTAGGTAGGGCCCTGGCTGTTGGCAACAAAGGGTCTTCGATGCTGAAAATGCCTCCTTCCTTCTGGTATAGAAGTCCGGTGTCGTCCTCTGGAGTTTCAGATGACTATCTTTCTGGTGTGTTCAGGTGAGACTTTTGATAATGAGTTAGGCTGTGTTTATGGCTATTCATGGCATGTCATAGATAAGCAACCGTCTCCTCAATAGGTGGTCCAAGTAATGGGCTCCCCGGCCTGGCCAAACCCTGGGTGACCCTAGGCAACCCCTTAAAGTCCTATGTTCCTCGGTTTGCCTGTGGGGGAAAAAATGGGAGTAAATAGTAAATAGGGAGTAAATAGCCTTCCTCATGTGGGCACTGTAAAAAATTATCAAATGAGGTGCTTTGAAAGGTGAGTGTAAAGGGAAACAAGAATTGGTGCTTTTTTTTTTTTAGCTGAGCCATCCTGCCACCTGTTGGCAGCTCAGCGGCAGCTCAGCTTGGACCCATGTAGGAATCGAACCGCTGTTGCTCAGAGCTCGCACTCTTGAGCGAGCTCTTAACCAACTGAGCCACTAGGCCGGCCCTGGAATTGGTGCTTTTATTAAGACTTGGGCACTGTTCCTTTGTGCCAGAGCTCTCAGGGTGTATAGATATGAAAGGGCTAAGCATGCCACCTTCACCTGGACCTAAAGTGATTCCCTTCATAAAACTGCACATAAAACTGTGGTGTGCCTGTGTGTGAATTCAGGACTGATGTCCTTCCTCTCCCAGCTCAAGAGCCCCCAGTCATCCGAGTGTATAAGTTACTTCTCCAGGAAGCCTGCCTTCGTAAAACCTGACTGACCTTCAGCCGCTTGTTCCTGTGGGCAGATGTGTTGCCTGATGCTTATAGCTCAGGTTGTGTGAGACTGGGTTGTACCACTTCCTAGCTGAGCCTGACCATGTGGACTTGACCAGCCAGATGAAGTTCAGCATGACTGGGAGCCTAAGATGCAAGGTGGGGAATGAGTCTGGAATGTTGGAAGGAGGCCACGTGATGAAAGGCCCAGAAGGCTGTTTTAGGGTGTTTGACCTTTGCCTTGAGGGCGGTGGGCGGCCGGAGGGAGGTCTCTAAAGGGCTTTAGATAGGGGAGTGGTGTGATCAGAGTTACCAGGAGTCTGAAGGGACAGGAGCAGAAACAGGGAGGCTGGTGTAGTCTTCTGCAGCAGCGCCTAGACAGCAGATGCAGAAGGTCAGACCCACAGAGGAAGGAAAGAGACGGAAGAAAGTCCTACAAGATCAAATCAGAAAATCAAGGTGTTGAAGGAGGACTGGAAGTTGCAATGAAAGCACGTTTAATTGATGTGTGTTCAACCGCACACAACGAAATCAAGGGAAAATAATTTGACTGGTCTTTTCAGAGGAGCAAAACCAGCCCGTGTCCAATTTTGACATCTTGTCCAAATCAAACATGGTACACTTAGAAATACCAAGGGCTGAGCAGGGTTGTGCCACACAAACGTACCATATATTGTGGAAAACGTAAGTGATTTTCAGGGGTAATTTTGACGGTGTGCATTTGTCGCCTTAAATGCTCACTTCCAAGCCCTGGCGTGAGGGTACTAGCCAGGGCCCGTTGCATTTTCTCCCTCTGCTAAGGTTGGCTGTGAATTCTAAGACAGAGCCTGGGCCCCTCCTCACCAGCTGTCCCCAGGCTGTTTCCAGAGATCTGACCAAAGAGGGATGATGCCGGGGGGTGAGAGCAAATATAGGAGGTCTCACCCCACATGTGTTCATGTACCTGAGTAGCTCCAGGGGGCCCCAACTTGGTAAAACAAACAGACGAACAAAATCCTATGTCACCTTGGGCATATCACTGCCCTTCATTTATCAGATGAAGTTGTCAGACGTGATTCAAGATCAGGGAAGTCTGTGATTCCAGGGCAGGTATACATTTTACTTCAGTATATTAGATCCTTTTTAAAAACATATCTGCGGTGAATTCTACTCTAAACTGAACTCTCCATGACTTATTTATCTTTTGTAGTCACCTGATTTCCACACAACAGTTTACTACACAAATACAGCAACTGCATTCTATCAGTGGAATGTGGTTTTCTTTTGTTATTCTCTTTTTCTCTCCTTTTTGTCATTGTCAATAGAGATAATTTTTTAAAGGGTTCCACACCCGGCTGGGAGTAAAATCTGGGCAGGGGTAGCTTGCTGAGGGAGCAGAAACCCTCCTGAGTCACAATCTGCAGGTAAACTGGAGCTGATGCCTCACCTCCTTGCCTCCACAGCGTGCGCCGAGGACTTCTTCTATACCTCACAGGGAGGAGACACGTCCATCGAGGACGTGGACGATGCTGACGACTTTGAGAAGACGCGACAGGCCTTCACACTGCTGGGTAAGGAGCTTGGGAATGGAGGGAAAGGTCCGGAGGGTTGATGTCTCGCAGAGGAGAAAAGCATAGCCATGCCCACTTGGCTTGTCCACTGTCATCCGCTGATGGGGAAGCCTGCTTGTCCTTGGTGAATGTCTTCCTCCTCCTCTCTTACTCCAGCCCAGCCCACTTTGTTGACCTTTCCTAAAACATGAGGATTTGAGAGTTGCTCTGCCACGTAGCATCCTTTTTCACTCTCTCAGGCCATCGAAGCCAGTGGCGGAAAGCCAAGAAGAGCCATGTGTCTTCCCACTGTGGTGTGAGTTCAGAGGCAGTGTGTTCATGCCTTTGGGACCAAACCACCCGTGTACCCTGATCATGGGATCCGAGGTAGACGTAGACTGTGATGCTGGTAGCTCTGTCACACTGCAGTGTTCCTGTTACTCCCGTTTCCATATAGAGCTTAGCAGCGGATCCCTTAAAACAAGACCTCTCTCCCCTTCTGAGGCATAAACATCAGTGGAGCTAGAGAAAATTGCCCCATCTCCCCTGCCATTTTTTGGGGAGAAGAGCCTTTCTAGTGGTAAGATGGAAGGCAAGCCTTTCTTACCTAGGAAATTGAAGTGGTAAATTCCTGGGACCTGCAGCCAGAAAAAGCAAAGCTTGGGAAGTCAGCCTGAGACCCATGAAGTGGCTCAGGGTGGCCCTCATGGTGTTCCCAAACTCCTTCCCTCATAGAGACAGACATTTGGCTTCTGATGCATGTGACTAACCCAGAGCAGCGTTTCTTAGGTTCTTGGGTGGGAATCAGGGAAGTTTTATCTGGTGTCAGAGTAAAACATGGCCAACCAGGGCACACCCTAATCTTTCTATAGGGCGGAAACCAGGACTTCCTGTGATGAAATCCAAGTGCTCTTTGCTTCTCTGGATAACTGGGTGGATAGATAGGGTTTGTCTTCTGTATCCATGAAAAATGAGTCAGGATACAGAAACCACACTGATATTCCATCAGAGAAAAATTAACACAAGTAATTGTTAACTAGAGCACTAGGGAATGAGTAACTATTAAATGGGGAGTAAGAGGACTTTAGGGGTCCAGAAGTAGCAGCTGCCAAAGCACCATCTCTAGGGTGAGGAAGAACAGCCAATAAAGGAACTGTTGACTAGGAGAGTGCCTCCCCTCCACCCCCCCCCCTCCCACACACACACACTGCTGGGCTGAGATTCTGAGCACTTCTAGAGGGACATGGCTGCCCCAAGGTCTGCTGATGGGGAGAGCTGGCCTGAGGACACAGCTGGGGCTCACCTGGGAGGTTGCTAGGCTCCCAAGATAAATAAGGATAACTACGGAGGACCAGAACCAGGAACAAATGAAATGCCTTGTTGCTGTTGCCCTGCAAAGTCACTTCAGTGCCAGCTGTTGACCAAGCGTCCCATTCCACCAGCAGGCAAAGGGGAAATGGTTATAGGGCCCCCTACAGTATCACAAAGAAGGGTAGATTGGAAGCAGTGAGATAATCAATTGATAACTGCACCCCCGACTTCCCCAGCATCACGTAGCTGCTTTAGTCTCCAGAGTTGGAGAGCAGGTGAGAAGGGGACTTGATGTTGAGCGGGAGAGCATTGGGCCCAGCTTGTCAGAGAAAGGAGAAGGCCTCTGGAGGCTGTCTCTGCGCAGTGGGCATGAGCTGGTCCAGGGATAAGGTCATTCCCTCCAAGGTTCTAAGGCTCAAAGCAAATGACATTTGTAAAATTATTTTAATAAGCCTTTGTCCCTACTCTTCAGTAAAGATGTCCATTTTTTGACATCAGGGGTTGGCAGCCTTTTTCTTAAAGGACAAAATATTAAATATTTTGGGCTTAGTGGGCCATATGTTTTCTGTCGCAACTTTGCCATTGTAGTGCGAAAGTAGCCATAGACAAAATAGAAAAGGGATGTGACAGTGTTCTAATAACAGTTTAATGACAAAAACAGGCCATGGGTTGTGGGCTGTACTCACAGGTTGCCAGCCCTTGTCCTCGTTTAGTTTTATTGTTTGTGTTGGTTTTTGCTTCCCATAGTGAGGCACTGCTTACTCACAGAATCCCGTATTAAGAAGGAACTTTCTGGTCAGCATTGTGCAGGAATCTTAACTCCTGTTAGGATTTAATATCTACTCTTTAAACTCTTCTCAAGAATAAGTGAAAGAGAGAAAGGTGACATATCCCTCTTGGCCTAGGATGGTCCCAGCCCCCCATTCCTGACTTGTGCTTCTAACGGAACCTACTTGAGAGCTGGACACTCGAAGCTCTGATCAAAAGCTCAGTGCTTTCCTTCCTACGTTAGGCATACAGCCATCAGGCCTCCTGTCTTGTCCATGGTTTCCGCTTCTGGCTTTAACCTTTTCTCTGGCCTCTGGCTGTTTTTTTTTTTTTATTATTAGATTAAATGAAAGCAGATATTTGAATAACACAAGCATTTCTGTAAACATCTTCAAGTACTTGCGGTCTGTGGAGCAGTCATCAATTCCGTCATTCTATCACTCATGTTTCTGAGCACCTACTGTGTGCCAGGCACTGGACATCTGATGATGAAGCAAGAACAGGGATTCATTATATATTTTGTATATTTTGAAAATATTATGTAATTAAACATTACAAAGTAGATCGCTGCCCCTGTGAAGTTTACATGGTAGTGGTCATCTAACATTTAAATCTGTTAATTTTTCTAGCTCATGCTTGGGTCGTCCACTTTGTGGATTATCTGAATAACGTTGTTAGTCCTAGCATGACACATTATTATTCCCATTTGTATTGGCATCGCTGCCTGACCTTTTAGCCTGAGTAAAATATTGCCTTAAGATGAAGCAACTACAGCTGTGGAGGAATAATGGGGGAACAATTGTAATACTTCCTAAACTGAGTGATAGGTTGATTGGTGTTCATTATGTTATTCTGTAACTTTTTCTTATATGTCTGAAATATTTTGTAATTTAAAAAGAAATGATAATGCCTTACAGCTAAGTATAAACTGTGAGAGATTATCCCTGTCTTTGAGAACTTAGCTGTGTAAATACATTTGGCAATAGGGATTTGCTGCCACATGGTTCCGGGGTAGGTGTGCACGTCTATAACGATGAAGGAGCACATAGCGTGATGGACCACAGCCCCCATCGGGGGACGGCCAAGAGCCAGCCGGCTGGCCACCCAGCCCCGTCACAGCCCTCCCAGAAGGAGGTTCTCCTCCTCCTCTCGTTGTCACTCTGGATGTGTGTCACAGATGTTTGCAGGATATTCTGTGGGGGAAAAAATGACTGCTGATAAAGGACCATTCTTATTAAACTCATAAAAACATCTGTAAAGTGTTGGGTTGAAATGAAGTCCAAAATGAGTCTGCATGATTGCTGCCTCTCCTTTGCTCCTGGAGGAGTTAGAGGGGTAGCGTGACCCATCTGGTTTGATCGGGACAATCAGAATGAGGACATTTCCCTTTGAGTCCAGGGAGCCCCTTTGCCCTCTGAGCTGTTACTGTGAGTGGTAATTACCTGCCGAGGAGTCGTGATCATCGGCGAAGTCATTGGCCCAGAAAGGAAAATCAAACCTTATTTATTTTTTTAAAGTCCTTTAAAAAAGGTAAAATGTCCTTCCTATCCTACCATGGATATCGAGTGTCACTCGTTCTTTTTTTTTTTTTTTTTCCAGGAGTGAGAGAGTCCCATCAGATAAGCATTTTTAAGATAATTGCTTCTATCCTGCACCTTGGAAATGTGGAGATACAGGCTGAGCGCGATGGTGATTCCTGTAGTATATCAGTAAGTTGCACACCAGCACCGGAGATAAAATGTACACAATTTACTCCGTTCTTACAGTTTTATACAACTGAAATGTGTCTTTACGTTTAGAGGCCTCTCATAGGTTATTTATTCTTATCAGAAATGGTTTCTGTTTCCTTGCTGATAATTTTTTAAAAAAACAAATCCTTTTCAAATCAGCTGCCATCAAATTTCTATCACCGAGGGCAGGGAGTTTAGTGGGTATTCAATAAATTATTATTGATGGTTTGATTTTCCGAGCACCCTGAGATCCATGGAATTCTGCAAAGCGTCATCAACCCGTGAGTACGTCCTGAGCATCATACTGGAAGGATATGAAGGAGCGCTGTACACCATACTTGGGACTGTCTCCAAGGAGCTTACAGTCTAATTGGGTAGACCAGATAGCTGACAACACTTGCCAAGATTTTGACAGCACGAGGCAGAATATTGAGACATCTATGTGAATGTATTGCACACTGTAAAGTGCTCCATAAGTGCTCATAATGACTGTTATTTTCCTGGTACCCAAAGTAGTACCTGATATGTGGTAGATAAAAAATGCCTACGTGGGTGGATGGTAGGGTAGGTAACAGTGCAGTAGCATAGACAGCAACCCTTGTGGCCCTCTGGTATTTTGTGGTGGTGGGCAAGGTAAAACTGGTATTCTGACCATGAGTGAGTGAATCTGCAGTGATTCATTATAGACCTCTTTTGCCCACTTATTGCTAAGTCCTGGGAGGTACAAAGTATGAGTCTCACTCCGAAGGCCTTAGAATTTGAATAACCAGTGCTGGGAAAAGACAGAAAATAATACTTCAGAATATGAACATGGGCACAATTCAATTGAGCAAACATTTATTACCCTCTTACTGTTTGTCTCAGGTTAGGGGTTATCATAAGTTAAAACTGGCCCTGCCTTTAGGGAGAGGAAAACATGAACTGTAGCTGGCATCTGGCCAAGCTCACCACCCTGCCCTCATCCCCGCCCCATACATTTTCCCTAAAAGAGAAATGGTCTTAGGTTTGGGAGGTCCCCCGGGGCCACTCAGGGCTGCCACCATCCTCTGCATGGAGTCTGCAGCCTCGTGAGTATGCAAGGAGAGAATGTTGGAGCTGGGTAGTGTTAGGTGCCCCTGGACATAGAGGTGTGTGTGTGTGTGTGTGTGTGTGTGGCAGGGGGTGGGACAGTGAGGTTGGCAGTGATGACGCTGTATGAGAGATTCAGGTGTCCAGAGGAGGACCTGTGTCTAAGCGTGGTGATGGATGGGCCTCCAGTGCAGGACAAACGGTCCTCTAGGCTGCGTCTTTAGGGCCAGTGAAGTAATGCCCCTGATGTAGTTCCCCTCATGAGAAAGGCACAGAGAGTCTGTTCCTCCCCAACCCCCACCAGCAAATGCCTCATGCATCCTTAGGGCAAATGTCCTCTGTCGGGTGTCAGGGGCAGGAGAGATTAGGGACATTTGCATTGAAAAACTGGTTCAGGCTGGTAAGATGCAGGAAAGATGACAAAGGTTCTCTTGGCCCCACTCTGCCCCTTCCCCAGTCCCCTTCTCCCCAGGGTCACATCCTGGTCACACACCCCATTATGGATTCTTATAGCATCCGTACTTCTGCTCCATGGCACTTCACGTGGTTGCAGTTGTACCTTATTGTGTGATTTGCTGCATGTCTGTCTCCCTCATGGGACTCTGAAGTCGATGAGGGCACAGACTGTTTTGCTCTTTATTGTATCACCAGCACAGAGCCCAGTTCTTGGTAGACACCGAAGAGCTGGAAGACACCAAGGTGGATGGATGATTAAGCTCTAGGCTCAGGGTGGTGCAAGTGAGAGTAGAATTGATGAGCATACCCAAGAGCATTGTGGGGTTGGTGGTAAGGCATGAGAACCAGGGCCAGTGAGGTCCTGGGCACCTGTGGGTGGGGTGGGCCAGGGCCTCTTAGAAAAGCCAAGGTTTGAGTTTGTAAGTGAAATGTCTCTCCCATCCTATAGCCGATCTTTCCCACCCAGCCTCTGACCCCTCAGGTAAGAAGGAAAGTGAGTGGTCATGGGTATTATCTCATCACTACCTGTTTCGCCCACTAAACTATAGGGCCATGTCTGCTGTGCTCACTGTTCCAGCCCTGACACACGTGGGCACCCACCGAGCATTTGTGTAAATACCGTACGAGGGTGGGAATATCGGGGAACACTTGGGGAAGAGTGGACGGGGGAACACAGGTGGTGGTTAAAGGAAGGGAGGAGGGAGGACACCTGACAGACAGAGGTTTGGGTACCACATGGCACAGCAGGCCCTTTCTCTCAGAGATAACAAGAAGTCAGAAGGTTTTGAGGACAGGTATGTGGTGTAGGCTAGTCTTCCACTGTTCTCCAATTAGAGGCTGTGTGGAGAACTAACTGAGAGTGAGAACTCTGAGTCAGGACTGCTAGGGCTCGAGTCCTCATTCTGCCATTTACAGTCACTTGACCTTTCTAGGTCTGTTTCCTCATCTGCAGAGTGGGAGTGATGTGACCTACCTTACCACAGCGCTCCCATGATTGAGTTCTTGACAATTATCATTGTAGTTAGAGCCAGAGTGGACCTTAGGAGCATCCTCCTCACATCACAGGGTTGGAAAAACGAGGGCTCAGAGAGAAGAAACGCCTTCTCCAAGGTCATGACGACAGTCAATGGCAAAGCCAAATCCCGGACCCAGCCAAATCCTAATCCATCCTCCTACACCTCTGCCTGCCTTGCCTCCTCCCCTGGACTGTCAGCCTCTCAAGCTGAGCCTGTCCTGCCCTGATGCCCCCACCAGCGCCTAGCATGGTTCTGGGCACTCAGTGTGTGCTCGAGAAATGCTTCACTAAATGGATGCCAGTGCAAGTGCCTCTCAAATATATTTCGGTTCATTCCTTGGGCACATAGCGTCGGCCTCCTACTGGAAATGCCGTCTATCCATATGCAGCATGCCTTCTGCTTGCTAGTTTTTATTTTTAATTAAGGCATGGACATGTGTTCCATGACCACCAGAGTTGCCTTGGAGATGCAGCAGCACACAATTACTTGGACACCAGAGGCAATTTGTTTCTTCAAATTTGGCAGCCTGGGCCTGCGAACCTAATCCACTATGTATGATGCTGGCTATTTTTAATGGATTTAGCATCATTTAATTAAGCTTAAGTATAATTGCATGATGTTAAATCAGTTTCAGTTAGCACCTTTCATCAACTCGCAGAAGAGGGTAATAGAGGGGTAAGCCACACCCCGCTGCAGTGGATGGGAACCCAGCCCCCGGTGACTATCAAATACTTGTGGTCCTTCCTCCATTGCGTTTGTTCACCTGGGAGATATCAGGGAGCGGAGGGAGCCTGCGGGCAGGCTTGGGCGGTCATGTTTGCTGCTAGCAGGCTGTTTACACGTCAGGGAATCCATCTGCAGTGCTCTGCCTAGCAATTAAGGATGTCTTGGAAATAGACGAACAAGTTGGACACTTGCCACCTCGGAACCTGTTGGCTGCCTAGCAGTCCCCGGTCACCTAACTTTATCACATACGAGTTTCTGTTGGGGAAGGGGGCGAGCTAGTGGGGGTAGCTGCAGAGTGAAAGGCTGTTGGCCAGGAGACGTGGCCATGGCAACCCCACCTGCTGAGTGAGTGAGAAGACTGGGGCCTCATCCGGCCCAAGCTGATTCCCCCCCTGGGCAGGGCTAGGAGCTCCAGGCCACAGTGGGGGAGCTTCACTTCACCCCATATTCTTCATTTGAAAAATGAGGGGAATTGGGTTAGAATGATAGCTCCCAAGGTAGTTCCCTGGGAGCCTTAACCAATTTCCTAGGAAGATAAGGGTTCTTTGGTCAATTAAGTTCTGGAAAGTCTCCGTAAAATACCTTATCTCATGATGAACAAACCAGCTCACTTGTGTTTAATCAGATGTCACCCTCCCCTCCCCTTTTGTTAAGTAAAGCCAGTTATATTTTCTCACCATTGCCTCATGGACCATATTTTGGCATAACACCGGCCTTGAAGAGGTTCTTTCCTGTTCTGGCACTCTGTTATTTTGTAATTGTGTTTGTTTTGGGTGGATTTTAAATATCTGTAGGCAAAATAAATGGCCTGTGAAGCCGGAAATGGTACATCTGTACCTTTTCCATTGAACAAGCCCTTATTTAAACCCAACTAGGCAGCCTCATCAGGAACGAGCCCCGCAAGCCATTCAGGGCCATTAGGAGGCAGCACATCGCGTTCTAAGGGACTCTCTGTCAGCCTCAGAGCTAATAAGCACTCTGTAGGCTCCTGGCTGGGATATCGGCTTTCCCGGCAGGTTGAGATGAGGGAGTAAATAACGGGCGAGAGGAACCTGTGAGGAAAAACAGGTTTTTTTGTGGCGTGCCCTGAGCGGGCAGCAAGGCTCTTCCGAGGGACACACACATTGGGGTGAAATAAGACAAATCCCTGTGGGTGGTTTGGTTATCAGAGACTCAAAGGCCAGGTTGATATGACGGGCACTTGGGGTAAATGAGGGTCAAGATGAAATGCAGCTGGAGAGGCAGCTGGGCTCGTTGGGTAGAGGGCCCTGAGCACCTGGGTGAGACTTGGCACCTCTCTGGGACTCAGCTTCTCACCTGTATAGAGAAGGGAATACTGGAGGTCCTCCTAGCCCCCCACCCCAGCTCTAAATGCGTGATGCTATCAGTTGCAGTGTTCCCAGGAGATCTTCTCAGGTCAAAATTTGTTGCATATTTTTGCCATTTGTCCTAGCTTTCCACTTGGATTCACTTTTCTTCCCCGAAGCATCAAGTGCTTTAAGAATGTAAAGTTCAAGGACATGTTAATATAGTATCACTGAGGCCAAGATGAAAGAAAGTGTGCCTGGAAACTTAGGACAGTGTGGTGTCTGTGCAGGATGGGATGCCATCCACTAGGGTTCAGTGCATTTCCGAGCACACAGCCGTTAGACTGGGTGCTAGCCAAAGTCACCCTTGTCAGTGAGGAATTCTCCCTGAGCTGTGGGGTAAGCACTGCACGTGGACCTCTGCAGGTGGGTACTGTACGTTCACTGTGATTCTGCTGCCCTCCGGCTCTCTATGCTTAGGGATGTACTCATTCCTATGCTATCAATTCTCCTCCTGCTCCCTTCACTCAGGGGACCCTCCCCTGCCAGTTACTCTGCACCCAGCTGGCAGTGGAGGAGGGGACAGGAAAGGGAGAGTGAGTTTTGGTTTTTTGAAGCCCTGATAATGTCATTATCAGGTGGAATGATCAGTTGGGGCAACTCTTTCGGCCCTAATTGTCATTCGCACTTAGCGGTGTGAGCATGAGACTCCTGGAGCAGCGGCTGGGGATGAAATGGGGTTCCAGGGTGCTGAGGGGTGGCCTTGACTGGGGTTCATCCCCAGGCAGCAGAGGAGAGGGCGTGGTGGTGGTGGTTTTGCCCTCCACGCCCCTCCTGAACTGTCCCCCTGTTTCTCTTCCAGCCAGAGAGTGAACACCTGAACAACTTCTGCCGACTGCTGGGAGTTGAGCACAGCCAGATGGAGCACTGGCTGTGCCATCGCAAGCTGGTCACCACCTCGGAGACCTACGTCAAGACCATGTCCCTCCAGCAGGTGGTCAACGCACGCAACGCCCTGGCCAAGCACATCTACGCCCAGCTGTTCGGTTGGATCGTGGAGCACGTCAACAAGGCCCTGCACACCTCCCTCAAGCAACACTCCTTCATCGGAGTCCTGGACATCTACGGGTGGGTAGACGGGCCTGGGCCCATCCTCCTGCCTTCCGCTCCACCTGGGGATCGGCGGTGTCTGCCTGCTGTTAATAGCATGTTAGGAGCCAGCAAGGGCCTTGCAGACCTCTTTAGCGGTTCTCAACCTGGGGAGTGTGAAATGTGGGACGACACTTTTGGGTGTCACAGTGACTGGGGTCACTACTGGCACCTAGTGGCCTAAGGCCAGGGATGCTAGTTGTCCTGCAGTATGAAGGACAGCTCCAAGGAAGAACAGACCCTGTCCAAACCCCAGTAAGCTCCCCCATTGAGAAACCTTGTAGACATCCCTTTTTGTAACTGGGAAACAGGCCCAGAGAAGGACATGTCTCACCCAACATCAAACTGGAAGTTACTGGGAACTTCAATTCGGATTTCCTACCTCAGTTATGTTTTATTTAAATCCACCATTTGACCTCATTCACTATACCACCAATCAAGGTGACTATTTTAATGCTAATCTTGCCCAGCACTGTGAAGATTTGTGTTGTGTGTGGTCACTCTTGAAATTTCTTTTCCTTTCAGAATTCTAGCCTGATGGAAAGGACCGATGTTTATAACAGCATATTTTGCAGGGAGAGGCAGCATGGCACAGTGGAAGGTCTCCTTGACCGAGGCATCAGCAGACTGGTGTTTTGACTCACTGGTGTCACCAGATCACTGAATGACTTTGCAGATCACAGGCCCTTCCTGGGTTTTCGTTTCTATAGCTTGAAATGAAGTTTTGAACCACCGGCTCACTGAGGCTCTTTCCAGATCCTTGTAGAATTGTTTGACATGACATGTATTGGGTTGCAACCTCCCTTGCACTTCTTTTATGATCGATGTCTTGCCCTCTTTAAGCTAATAATAGAGTAAGTCCTCCTGGGTCTTTATATGATAGAAGTCATGGCTTCTGTCTTGAAATAGAAATTCGGACCCGTAGAAGTATGGAGTCGTAAGAACAGTGATGCTCTAGAGCAGTGGTTCTCAACCTTCCTAATGCCGCGGCCCCTTAATACAGTTCCTCATGTTGTGGTGACCCCCAACCATAAAATTATTTTCGTTGCTACTCTATAAATGTAACTTTGCTACTATTATGAATCGTCATGTAAATATCTTTTTGTTTTCCGATGGTCTTAGGCGACCCCTGTGCAAGGGTCGTTTGGCCCCCAAAGGGGTTGTGACCCACAGGTTGAGAACCGCTGCTCTAGAGGAAACAACTGCTCAGTGGGCTGCTGAGCGGGGACTCACCTTCTGTTGAGGCCGTAGCTAAGGAGACGCCCCTCTAGAAGCGGCCACTTACTGTGCTATGATGGACTGTCCTCGCGACATCTCTGCTGCCCTTGTTCATCACTGGTTTTCAAATCAAACCATGTCTCATGCTGTGGAGGTAATAAAAGAAGAAGGATGCTTGATTTCTGGCATCACAGAGGCCTCCGGAATAGACCGAAGAGTTAAGCCACGTGCGGGGGCTTCGTACTACAAGAGGCAATAGAAGAAATTGTGGCAGGGTCAGTGGGAGGGCTCGGACACTTAGGGCTGCATGAGTTTCAAGGCAGGAGAGAGCACGCTTTTTGGCACAGCCACAGAAAGCTCTATGTGGGAGGTGAGGTTTGAACTGGATCTTTTAAAAGGCGGGAGTAGCATATGGAAGGCACCCCTTGGAATTGAAGCACAGTCAAGATGGTAGGTAAAAGCAAAGTGTGGAAGGAAACCTCCTGGGTGATGGGGGAACGAACAGCGGAGAGTCACCCCAGAGTGGGAAGCAGGAGGATGCAGCTTCAGGGTTTTAGCCGCATGTCGGGGCACCCTGCTGCTCCTTTCTGGCTGCTCTGGAGAGAGTGCAGAACTGTCTGTGCCCAGTTGTCAGTAATTAATTCTGGATGATTCTTTCCTCTACTGTGAATCTTTTCAGGTAATGGGGGTTTCCAAAAAAACTGACCTTTAATGTTTAACCTTCTGAAAGAGGACCCAGAGAAACAGGCTTCAGGGTTTGACCCAATTCCTTTCCTCTATCTGGGCAAAAATCTAATTTTACTGAGTTTTTGATCTGGGAAGATGAACATGCAGACTCACTGTTGTTAATAGCATGTAAAAGTATTTTGACTTCAGTGCCACCGATACATAAAATCTCACGCTTCAGGTCTATTGTAATTACATACTGTCTCAGCAGTGCCTCCAGTTTAAATAGGCCGGTTCCTCCCTTCCCAGGGATCCCCAGGGAAAGGCTTTGCTCATTGGCGAGGGGCCTCTGTGAGTTGGGCTCCTTGTGCTGCTAAATCTGGGCTCGCGCAAGCTCGGATTTCATACTTCTATTTGTCATGTAAGTTTTATAATTGAATTTATCTTCTCTGTGGTCCTGTGACTGCCCAAAGGGGAGAAACAGATTGCAGGGAAGGCTTGTCTGTGGTTTGAAAGGTAGATTTGTCTGTGGAGGAGTGGGGATCCTTAGGACTTCATTTCTGGTGCCAACTCCTGACCTCGTCTCAGAGTGGCCGTGGGCTCCTTCGAGAACATCTGACAGCTTTCCGGTGAGAACAGGGTCCCACCTCAGGGCCAGGCAGCACGGGGCCAGCCACTTATGAGCCCTCTTGGGAATTTTCCTACCCTTTGTGCTCTCTTCCAGGCATGCTATGCTGGTTTGGTTTGGTTTCTCTCTCTTCTTTAAAATCCTTATTCTTTCTCAGAAGCTAATTTACTTTTTCAAACCGTGTCATAAAGAAGTCATATTTCAAAAGTGAATCCGTCTCCTCCTGGAGAGAGAAATGCCATGCATGGCTACTCCTCCAATATGCTTGATGCAGCGCCGAGTGCCCCGATAGGCAGAGCTGAAGACAGCAAGTTAGGTACAAGGTGGGTTCAGAGTTACCAAGCTGGCTGTGTTCCTGGGCCGTTTGTTCCCAAGGAAACACCCACAGACATTCCCTGAGCGTGTGCGTGCATGCTCCCCAGCGGTTCTGGCCTGCTGAGAAATCATTGTATAAATTCACACTGGCCAAGGCTCTCTTTTCTGGTCGGAGGGAATGTAATGAACTCCTAGGAGATGAAAACCAAACACTTCACCACAGGAAAGCAGGTGCCTTGAATCTGGCAGGTACTGTTTCTGACCCATTAGGTCAGTGACATCATTTCTTCATCTGGGAGAAAATGGTGGACATCTGGGATGACTCGTGTTGAGCTCTTGATGGTCACCTCCTTTCCCAGTCATGGTGTCTTTCTGCCTTATTCCCTCTGCACTTAAGATGCCTTCCAGAAACCCGCTGAATCTTTTTATTTTATTTTTTAATGTGATCATCCTTCAAGTATCTGGAAGTGGGCGTCATGCATGATACTCCACCTCTCTCACCCTCTTCTAACGACCACCCGCCTATTTCAAACTAATTTCTATCATTAGGTTTTATTTATGATATAGCTATGGGAAGTTATTCTCTCTAAGGAGCCTACCATCCTCCATGGCATCAGAAAACTCCAGTATTATTTTTTATTGTTTGAGTTTCTTACCCAAATCTCTGACCACCGAACGCTGGAGCGGGAGAAGACCATCGTCCAGTGTCCTGGTAGAAGGGTGGCCTGACGCCTTGCTCCCCTACCCCAGCTCCAAAAAAGTGCAAAGCAAGTAACACTGAGAGCAGTTTAGCCAGCCCAAGCCAAGGTACTTTCCTGAACTAAGGATCCGGGAAGCTGCCTGCTGGGTATTGCCAGGCAGGGGACAGAAATCAATAAGAAAGAGCCAGGCAGCTTTCGGCTGGGGTTTCCTTTTCGTGTTGCATTAACCAGCACGTGCCTCTACAGACTTGATTAATTGCAGCCGTAATCCTTTATTGCTCCCCGCCTCTTGAAGCGGCAAGAAATAAATGGCTTCAATTTGGGACAGATCCACATTTATTTGTCTTTGACTTGAGCCTCCAAAATGCCGAGGTAGCAGGGGCTTTGGCTGAGACCAGCTGGTTCTTGATGAGGACAGTTGGCCAAGGAGACTTGGGGAGCAAGGCAGTGTTACAGATTGATGCCTTACGCTGAGGAGCCATTGAGTGGGGATGCAGAGGGAGGAGAGGGATGTTTGGGCCCCAGGAAGCAGGAAACGGGATCTGCTGGGATTTTAGATCCTTCTTGGCCCGCACGTTACTTTCTATGTCTCTCGTGGTATTTCCTAACTTCAAATTAGCATCCAACTCTCCTCACTGCTTTTTAGTGATGTATTTTTTAAAAATGTGTTTTTAAAAGTGTATAAAATGTACCATCTTAACCATTTTCAAGTATACAGTTCAGTAGTGATACATATATTCACATAGTTGTGTGACAGATCTCCAGAGCTTTTTCACGCTGCAAAGCTGAAGCTCTACCCATTGGACCACTCCCATTTTCCTTCCCGCCAGCCCCCGGACACCGCCATTCTACTTTCCGTTTCTGTGAGTTTGACTACTTTAGAGACTTCCTATAAGTGGAGTCATATAGTATTTGTCTTTTTGTGACTGGCTTCATTTAGCATAATGTCCTTAAGAGTCATCCAAGTTGGAGTATGTGACAGGATTTGCTTCTTTTTAAAAGCTGAACAGTACTCTGTTTTATGGATACAGCACATCTTGTTTATCCATTCACCTAGGTGTTTTTTTTCATATTTTAATAATTCTTTTCATTTTCAATTAAAATTAACATATATTAGTTCCAGATGTACTACACAGTGATTAGACATTTATATAATTGATGAAATGATCACACTGAGAAATCTGATATTCATCTGACACCATATATAGTTATCACAATATTAATGATATTCCTTATGCTATACTTCATATCCCCATGACTGTTGGTACTTCTTAATCTCTTTCCCTTCTTTTACCCACACAGCCAATCCCCGCCCTTCTCCCATCTGGCAACCATCAAAATGTTCTCTCCACCTGTGGGTTTGTTTCTGTTCTGTTTTTTGTTTTTTTTTTAGAAATCATGTGGTTTTTTTTTCTTTCTCTGATTTATTTCACTCTGCATAATACCCTCTA